AAATATTGTTACCATTCTCACTTGTAGTCTGATTTGGGAGTAATTATAAGCTTTTCGAAAACCTTACTTCTATAATTTCCCTTTGCAAAAAGTCTAAAAAAACCTGTTAGTATCGATACTTCATCTTCAGTATCGATACCCAACCCAAGGTATCAATACCATAACTCTGAATTTGCCTTAAACTAAAAGGGAGTATCAATACTCTCGTAGGAGTATCAGACTAAGGACCTTGGGTATCGATACTCCCCAGAGTACTGATACCAAAATGGCATTTTGAAATTTCAGTCTCAATACCAGACCCTCAGTATCAATACTCCTTAAAGGGGTATCGATATTGCTCCTCAAAAACTCTTGAATTTCTGCAAGAACTATGAACAATATCGATACTTACCCTTAAACATGCCTTATTTAGGCATGAAATTACCTCTTAACTCTAATTTTCTTACTTTAAGGTTTCTCAATTAGTTATTAAGTCTTATTTGATCTTGGGGGTCATAAAGAGGCCTTTAAAACATGCTTACAACATAAATTATGAGATCTACCATGAAATCTTGCTAAACATGTTTTAAACGTAACTTTATAGCTAAAACTAATTTCTAATGAGATACAACATATGAGAAAGCTATAAGTGTGTTACCTGATTCTTTTAGCTGCTAAAACTCCCCTCAATATAGCTTGGGTCACATTTTCCTTCCCCTTTGCCTTTGAACTTTCACCAACTTCTTCAACTAATCAAAAGGAAGAAAAGGGGATTACTATCTTATTTAAGGTTTGAAACTAAGTTAGGAATACTCTAACCAACTCAAAACTACCCAAAAACAAGCTTAAAACACTTGGTTTCTTACAACTCCTAAAAACCTACTATGGGTAAACTACACTTTTGGTCTCTATTTTCTCTAACCTATTCTAAATTCACTACTTGCCTTAGCTTTTGAGCCAAACTTAGGCCCAATGCTCTTATAAACTGGTTTAGGAAATCTAATGGACTATACTTACGGGTTTCAGGTTGACCCGAACTACTGACCCGGGATTTGGGGTATTACACTATATATGACTTTCAAAACTCTATCTCTCATAGTGACAACTGAGCCTTTGGATTCCAAGGCTCCCAATGAGATGATATTTTTCTTTAAATAGAGCACGTACCGGCCATTAGTCAGAACTCTAATTGATCCATCTTGATTCTTCAATAAAATTGAATATATCCCAATAGTTTTACAGGCATTGTCGTTACCCATATAAACAACTCCTGCATTTAGTTATACTAAATTCGGAGAACCACTCCCAATTAAGGGAAATATGATAGGTGCAACCCAAATCTAATATCCAATCATCTGAATGGAATATTGATGATGAAGCAACCAATTATATGATAGAGTCATTAGCATCATGCTCTGCAACACATTCATTTGGAGTAGCTTTTCCTTTTTTTCTTCAGCTTCGGACAATCTTTCTTCCAATGACGTTTCTCATGAAAAAGGCACATTCATCTTTTTCTAGTGTGGATTTCGACTTTGATCACCCTCTCCTATCTGGATTTTGGCTTTTTGAGCGACCTCTTGCCACCATGGCCTGTACTGCGTCATACTTATTCTCCTTCTTGGTTTTCTTCATAAGCTCATAGCTATACAATGTAGCAGTTACATCTTTAAGGTTAACTTGATGCTTTCCATGAAATAATGTTGTCTCAAGGTGCTCAAATTCATCTGGAAGAGATGACAACAACATTAAATCCAAATATTCATCTTTGAAAGTTTCATCCATGCCCAACAAATCTGTCACTAGTTCATTGAAGGCAATGATGTGTTCATTCATATTGGGGCATGAGTGATAATCAAATCTGAACAATCTTTTCTTTAGGAATTTTTCCTCTAATGATTTCCACAACTTACTTGCAAAAGTCTCTTTCTTGTTCATATCTGCAGGCTTTTCTTCCTCAATGGCGATGTCTAGACCTTGTTGGAATAAAGCGTATAACACCTCGCCTCGCCACATGCTGAAATGACCAGATTCACTAAACAACTCCACTGAGAAGTTTGCATTTGACATCACCCTCCTCAATGGTCTGGATGAAGAGCTTGATGTCTCAACTGATCAGTATTTGGTCATTTCAATGCCAATGAACAATATTCAACAGCACAGACTTGATATTTTCAGCAACGAGACCACCAAGATAAGTCAACCGAAGCTATGATATCAATTGTTGGGGAAACCAGATTATTTCCCACGAAAGTAGTTTCAAAATTGACCTAAAAAGTTAAGATCAAAACTACCAAAATTGCACAGTGGACAAACCCATCAAACTATTGAATATTGAACACAATAGAAAAACCCAATAAAGAACAATAATGGAGAGAACACACCAAATTTACGAGGTTTAACGAAAATATCGTCTACTCCTTAGGCACCACCAATAGATGAAAACTTCATTATCGACAAAATATTACAACAAATGAGATTCCATAGAATTCTCAAAATATTACAAAGTGTGAGAATGAAGAAAACAAATGAGGGATACAACTTGTTGGGATGATTTCAAGTGAAAGTGTTTAGTCCTATTTATAGTTGGGCTTCAAGGACCAACCTTGCAAATAACCTAATAGTTTAGGAACCAAAGGATAATTTTCCCATGTACACAAGTTGACAACTTGCCAACTTGCAAATACTTGGTGTCCATCAAAACCACTTGTCAACTTGTATCAAAATCAAACTTGAATTCTTTAGTGATAGTAAATTCAAATTCAAATTCTTTGATGGTTGTAAAGTTGAACTAAAATCCATGACAATTTTAACTACCACTTGAACTTTATCCAACTTGTAGCTTGTAAATATACAAGCCACACACAACAACTCCGATTTACATTCCAAGACGATGAAACTCTCTCAAATGGCTGGCATGTTGCTTTTGAGAGTATGCCTTGTTTGTTTGAGTGGGTTTTTTTTTCAATGGAACTCAACTTTGTTTCATTTTCAATGTTTTCTGCGGAAGGAAACTAAAATGAGAGATGGTTTATTTAAACCTGCAATTTAGACACGGCAACACGAGAAAATAACATGAAAATAATACGAATACAAGAATACGTTTGTATTTATACAAGATGAATGATTAATGTGTCAAAATTCATATACGTAATACCTTTACTATGATCATGTCAAAGAAAAATAACCGGCACAACATGGATGCATGAATTGCTAGATTTAGTTCTAACCCTTAAGGACTTACTCACGCAGGTACATACATAAATATGTATGCATGACAACATTAGAGTAGATCGGTGACAGAGAATGGTGCGGATTTAGAGCTGTCGCTTCTGAATGGTCTTTTGGTTCAACAATCAACATCAAAGGTGAACTGGTGAAGATCATATTCCTATGCTTCATTCTTCTATTCCTTTTGGTTCTACCATACGTGTCTTTTTCATCAAATTGTCTTTTTCTACGTGAATTTATCTATGAATCTCAATTAACTAATATTCGTTATAGTTCTAGCATCGCTTCCACCGTCGCTGCAGTTTCCTCTTCTCAAAGGAGTTCTAAGACGATGAAATTTTGCGTTTAATTCTGAAATGTTGTCATGTGTGATTGTATCCACGCTTAGTTGTCTTATTTGTTCGGTTTGTAGAGCTAAACTCACTCCTGGTTTTGGTGCCAACTCCGAACTAGTCGAGTCATGCTCAAATACCACTAAGTTGAACTGAAACTTAAAGAGTGTGTGGGCATCATGGACAAGCTTTTGAGGTATGCCTTGTTGTCTTTGAAAACGACTGAAGCAGAAGGCAAAGCAGTAGCCATTTCACAGAAAAATTGGAGCAGTTTTTTTAGAAAAAGTTAGTGAAGTCTGATGAGGAAGGGAAAGAGGGAACGTAAGGACTAAGGTGAGTGGCAAATGGGGATAATAAAAAGTATATAAATAATATTAATAAATATTAATTGGTTAAAAAATAATTAAAAAATGACATCATCACAGAGTTGGGGAGAAAATGGAGTGAAAAAAATATCAATGTATACGATTCAGTGATTAAATTAAAAAAATTAAAATGTCAGTGATTTAAATAGGAGAGATAGTAAAATTCAGTGAGTAAATTTATGGTTTAGCGATTATATAATTATCTTATAACATTGGCTTTTTAGGGCTAAAAGACCTTGCCATCACTTTGGAGTCTAAAATATTAATGGCTTCTTGGGTTTTAACGCAAATAGGTGTCTTGTATTGGGTCATAGAAGCTCCTCGGGACATATAGTGATCCATTAGTGCATCAAAGCTTCCTTCTTTTACCACCCTAATCTCCAATGCTGCAATTTTTTTTTTTCTTGCTGTTGCTTCTGTATATATACCCCAATGACTCTTCCATCCTATAGCAACAGTCTTCCATTATGTTAGGATCAACCTCTTCCCTTTCCTTACCTTCTTTTGCCTTAAGCTCCCAAAACTAGACGTAGTACCCGGAATCGAAGTCGTGTCAGCGTAGCTAGTGTACCCTCTCAAGATGAATCCGAGTGGTTCGACAAGTCTTTGCTTGTCACTGCCCTTGACAGGTTTTCCTCGCTTGTTTTGTCTGCGTCGATGCTTAGAATAGTGTTTTGTCTCTCGACGTATCGGAACTGAGGTGTCGTATTGTGAAATCTGTCACTTTAAGAACATCTCCGACTTTGTATCGATATAATCCTGAATCGAGAAAGAAGATTAGTGGATCTTTTTAAGAAACTTAGTGAGGAAAAATAATGTTTTACCTGCATAGGATGTGACCAGAAGTTGCATAATATTGATCGAGCTTCACATGTACAAGATCAACAGCTTCAGTACCTTCACGGGACATTGTAAGATTGTCTTTGTCTAGGGGAAGGAATTCGAAGTAAGCCATGCTGGGAAGAAAAGGGTAAGAGGCACATGAAGGCTCACATAGAAGGTCCAAATTGATCCCACAAAAGGCTTCAGAAGAAACATACATGTCTGAAACTATAGGGAGTCCTCCGCTGTAGATCTCGAGTGTTTCAACATATTAACTCATAACACCTGTAGAAATGGCAGAAATACACTTTGCATTAGGCCAAAGCTTTCTGATTATGCCTTCCCATGATTTACAACTACATATGTTCTGTATCGATTCGGCCGATTTAGGATTAGGCTCCATTGTGGACGGAATCGCGTTTCTGCAACCGGAGTCGGTGATCCAGTCCCTAAGTTGGCCTGATCTTATGTTGAAGCATAACTCTGTCCAGTAATCTTCTATGAACTTGATTGCTCTCAGCAGTGCTGCTGAAAAGGCTGCAGAAATGATTCTAACCTCGTCTCGCCTGATTAAACCCGCGAGTAAATGACAATACATGCTTTGTTTGGGGTCTGAGCAAAAGATTGCTTCAAAAGGGCTTGTATGATGCTGGGAGATGATGTTCCTAAAGCCATCTTCTTTGTACAGGCTTGTTGACAGAGAACTTGCTTTGAGGCCACAAGGAGTTTCAGTATCTGGTTTGGTGAAAATAAGCTCCAATCTTTTTACCTTCTTTGTCAAAGTCACCAAAGTAGCGGTAAATGGATTGTGCTGTTAGGCCAATGCACATTCAACCTATGCTACTACAAGTCCAATATAATCTCAGTTTCTTACGATTTAAGCAAAGATGTAAAAAGGCCGAAATATATTGCCCTTAGATTAAGAATTTCAGCCGTGACAGGTATCAGCTTTGGCTTCTCTCCTGAGGTTCCACTACTGCAAAACAAACGAGATTGAATGAGGATGATCAACGGATGAAACACTTGGAGAGAGAAAAAAAACAGATCAGAATAAAAAGATTCACGCCTTCGATAGAACTCGACGACCGGATCAGCCGAAAGGATATTTAACGTCTCGCCGCTGGCAATCCGATCAATGTAAGGCTTAATATCTTCGTAAGCAACAATGGGGACATTGCTTTTGAAGTGTGTCTTGTCAGTTTTGCCATTGAGGTATCGGCTCAGATACTCCGTTCCTGCATTTCTATGTAGTATTTGCCCTAATATCTCCTCGTGTTTACTCGGCGTTATTTCCTCTATCATCTTCATCCCATCTTCAAATTCATAGCTATACTCTGCCATTAAACCAAACTCTATTTTCTAGCCTCCGATTTGATAACACCCACAGCTTCAAAAAATATATATAATTAACTCAAATTATTCAAAAAATAATTAGATTTATCCCGCCCCTTCTTTTACTTGAACCCGATACTTCAAGGAATGACAACAATTCATTTACCACCGATGTCGCTCGGTTCGTGCAACACAATTTGAATATTAAGATTATCATGAGAGTTAATTAGATTGAAAATGTTATTTTTTATTAAATGGAGAGGGTATTACGTTTTTTAAGAAAATATTAGAATTGAAACTCGTAAAAGGTGGAACAATATATGCATTTTTAATCAATGGATCAATTATTATTATTTTATTATTTTGGGTAAATATAATGTAGTATATGTTCAAAGATAATTCTTAATTATTTGACATTGAACGCTTTCACTTCTGATATTTCTGGTATTCGAACCTGAAACCTTAAGAAATAACAATAATTCTTTTATCACTGAGGTGACATGGCTCCTGTTCACTGGATCAATTATGAATCTCGATTAAAAGTGTTATTTTTATTATTATATTATATTATTTAATTAATAGATAAATAAATTATATACATACGATTATTTTTTTATAGAAGTAACTAATTTTATTCAAAATATGAAATATCTCAAATTACAATAAATATTTATAATCACAATCGTAAATTAATCACATAATTAGAAAAAATTCTTGTAATCATTGAAACAAAACTAGCAACTTAAGATCACATAAGGACTATACAAGGAAATATTAAATCTAACTAAAAAACTCGAACAAAGATATATACAAACATATTTAATCGCATCGGGAAACAAATCACAAAAGGGGATCAAACTATTCACGAATGCAAATCGGATATCCAAATCTAATATGAGGGTCTAAAACATGGAAGATCAATAAGATATCAAATATGCACATTTTTTTATCAACCGTGACGATTTTAAATCAACCCTTAAAAAAATAAATAAAAAAATCAAAGAATCAAAAAACATATAAAAATGTATCTCAAAGACATGAAAACGTGCAACACAAACAAATTTATTGAAAATAAAAAAATAAAAATATGATATAAAGAAGAAAAAGACAATAAAAAATACTAACGATCGATAATTAATATTAAAATTAATGTAATCATCTATTAATAAAAAAAATCAACGAACACACTAATGAAATAAAATTAAGTTTTTTTTCTAGTTATAGCTACGTCGTATGAGATTTCACGTATTTTTTTATACGTATGGTTATTAAAAATATATAAAATAAATAGAAATATAAATGGATGGGAAGAGAAAGGTCTGAGGAAATCTAGAGAAAGCATCGAACGCCTTGGACCTCTCCTCAACGACAAGAAAAACCAAGATACATTTCCTCCTTTGCCTTTGACGTCCACATCTTCCCCCATTGTCACCCACATTTGCATGCCCACGCTTCCCCGCTCTCTCTCTTTCACTTTCATTCACTCTCCGCTTCCAAATCTCTTAACTCGGCCATCGCCACTCTCCTCCTCTCCTATGGCTTCCGCTACCTCTTCCACCACCCTTTCCCTCCTCAAAACCACCACCTCCTCCGCCTCTCGCCCTTCTGCTTCCCTCCTCCGCCTTCCCTCCACCGGTCGGCACTTCAAATCCTCCCCTCTAACCCACGGCCTCGGCTTCTCCTCCGCTGCTTCTGGGGATTCCCTGCTTTCCCTCCATGTCTCCTCCAAGGTTCGATCTTTCAAGGGAAAAGGGTCTAGAGCGGTTGTTTCCATGGCCAAGAAGAGTGTCGGCGACTTGAATGCGGCTGATTTGAAAGGGAAGAAAGTGTTTGTTAGGGCTGATTTGAATGTCCCATTGGATGATAACCAGAACATTACGGATGACACTAGGATTCGTGCTGCTGTTCCCACCATCAAGCATTTGATTCAGAATGGAGCTAAAGTCATTCTCTCTAGCCACTTGGTAACTCGATTTCTCTTTGTTCTTATATTGTTGGGTTGTCTGTAATTTAATATCTAATTGAATCAATTACCAGAGCTCCATAACATAGTTTGATGGAAGTTAAAGTTTCTAGATTAGATTTAGCCAAATCAAACTTGCATATGTTTACTAAGTTTGATAGCTGAATTGTGCTTTTAAGTAATGGTTAGATTTGTGGGTTCTTAACCATTTGGGTTTGAGCTGTAAGAATTGAAATAACGGTTCATTGTATTTTCAGGGTCGGCCAAAGGGTGTTACACCCAAATATAGCTTGGCTCCTCTTGTACCCCGGCTCTCTGAACTGCTTGGCATTCAGGTAATCATTCAAAGCCGAAAATTTTCCGGTTATAAGGTGTGTAGTTCATGTATTGGATGAAAATAACACTCATTAACTGAGTAGGTTGTCAAGGCTGATGACTGCATTGGTCCGGAGGTAGAAAAGTTGGTTGCTCAACTTCCTGAAGGCGGTGTTCTTCTTCTTGAAAATGTTAGGTTTTACAAGGAGGAGGAAAAGAATGAACCTGAATTTGCCAAGAAACTTGCATCCTTAGCTGATCTCTATGTTAATGATGCATTTGGGACTGCACACAGAGCCCATGCATCAACAGAGGGTGTTACAAAATTCTTGAAGCCATCAGTTGCTGGTTTCCTTTTACAAAAGGTAGGATGTGTCATTCTAAGTTCCTGAAGAAACTTGATTACTTTTCAATTGCTGTATCCAAATCGACATGTTTTCAAGTATATCCATCATTTGTTTAATTCTGACATTGCATTTAAACTACTATGAAGTTTTCCTTTGTTTATTTATTTATTATTATTATTGTTACATTTTAACGTTTTAGGTTCCCCTTATATTCATTTGCTCTTCCTATCTTTTTACAGGAGCTGGATTACCTTGTTGGTGCAGTTTCAAGCCCCAAAAGGCCATTTGCCGCCATTGTGGGTGGTTCAAAGGTCTCTTCCAAGATTGGAGTCATTGAATCACTCCTTGAGAAATGTGGCATTCTCCTTCTTGGTGGTGGTATGATTTTTACATTTTACAAGGCACAAGGCCTATCAGTTGGTTCATCCCTGGTAGAGGAAGATAAGCTTGAACTTGCAACATCACTCCTTGCGAAGGCCAAGGCAAAAGGAGTGTCTCTTTTGTTACCCACTGATGTGGTTATTGCTGACAAGTTCGCCCCTGATGCAAACAGCAAGGTTTGTTACTACTCAATCCGTGCTAAAGAAAGCCTGATGACCTGGAGCTATAACGGGAAATAAACTGCTCTTACATTACCATTATTAACTTGTCTTAGCAAGAGTGAACAATTTTTGCTTCTTGCAGACTGTGCCAGCATCTGCTATTCCTGATGGCTGGATGGGATTGGATATTGGACCTGATTCGGTTAAGACATTCAATGAAGCTTTAGATACCACCCGAACCATCATCTGGAATGGACCGATGGGAGTGTTTGAATTTGACAAGTTTGCAGTCGGGACTGAGGTATGCTTGAATTTTTTGACTATGTTTAGCTGTTGATGATATTGCTGTATTCATAGAATTAGAAGTATCCCTTTTCTACTAGTTAGATATAGTTATAATTTCATAGCCACTCGCTTTCCAGGCCAAACCAGCAAAAGGTAGCGTTCCTCCAATTACCTTTATAAAGTTTTAAATTCCATTTGCTAACCCTTACAGAAATAGCAATTTAAGATGTATGCTTTGCGGTTGCCTACCTTTAACTAGTATGCTTTGAATCCCTTTGTCTCTCTAGGGAAGTGACAAGGTTTCAAGTTGACTGCTTTTATGTTTTTGTTTTGTATAAGTGAATTGGAATTAAGTTGCTCTTAACTTGTAGGCTATTGCAAAGAAGCTAGCCGATCTTAGTGGCAAGGGAGTGACAACAATCATTGGAGGAGGAGACTCTGTTGCTGCTGTAGAAAAGGTTGGAGTTGCTAATGTCATGAGCCACATATCAACTGGTGGTGGTGCCAGTTTAGAGTTGTTGGAAGGGAAGGAGCTTCCAGGTGTGATTGCCCTGGATGAGGCTACCCCTGTTGCTGTGTAAGATCAAGTTAAATTTTCCAAAACCTCACTGTTAGTGATTTATCCGGTTTTTGTTATCGAGAAATAAAATGTTTTATGATGAAATGAGTTCTTGTTGTAAATGTACACCTTAAATCGCCAGAAGGACCCATTTCTGTCTCTTCTTTTCTTTGCTCCTTCCTAGAGTTGCCAGAACAGTGTTGATTAAATAAATTAGTTCATTTTTATCAACACCTTGCATTATTCTTATATTGTTCATACCCTTCCTATATGATTGCTTGTTTAGCACTATGAAGCTAATGAAACTTTCAGCTAACAAACATATAATTTGAATTTGATATCATTGTAGAGACAAACTATGACGTACGTGAACATGTTTGCAACTTGAAGAATACAGGGATGACGCCTTCTTTATCACCTGTAGTTTCAGCAGTTGTTATAAAGCAAACCCCAGATTCTCAATCAAGTAGAGATTTCTGCTAAAATTGTTACCAGAACCAGAAATTTACTCTGTGGGAGCCTGAAAACATTGATCCTCCGTATGAATGTAAATGAACACTGGTTTGATAAGTCTCTGTGCTTGTTAGTTCAACTGTGGAAAGGGACGAGAAGGCGAAAATCTGTCGTTAGTAGCGAAAACCACATAAAAATGAGTGGTCTTGAGTGCTTCTACGCGTCGAACTTCTGGTTGAGCTCACGTTATGTGTCCTGCAGAGATCATGGGAAGTCCACCCCCATGGAATATGTGCTTGTGGCCATCATCCTCGTGATATCATTATCCACATGAAAATCACTCATTTCAACTTGTGGGTATTATTATTCAAACCGAAAGGTTTCGCCTTTATTTTGTGAAGAAAAGACATGGCAGTTAATTAAAGCTACCCAATTCGACCAAGACTACCGAATCTGCATCTCTGCAGAAGAAAGCTCAGGTCCTGACCCATTCGCTTGGTCTCGAAGTTTGTGTTGGCTCGAACGGAATCTATTTCAGAAGAAAAGCGTCCCTATATTCAAGATCAAGATGCCAACCTTGTAGCACACAAAGATTTTGCCCTCATTCAAGGATCCTTCACCTCTTGAACCCGACTTCTAAAACAAATCAATGGACATGAATTGCAATGCATAACATCATGCTGCATGCATGAGTAGTTGAGGCTATTTAGAGTTATAAATATATATCCTCACATCCGACGTCTTTGTCTAAATATTATTTCAAAATGTTTGAAGCAATTGTAAACGGCATAAATCATGCTTGGTTAATACACGCAGTTGACTTCGAATTTCCTTCTATAAAATATCTTAGCAAGTAATTGCACTATATCCGTTTGTAATAATTTATAGTAATAACAAAAACTAATTTCTTGGATTAATGTCTTACCAAGTTACTGTTGCGTTTTGTGATGCAATAAAAAAAATCAGAAATCAGTGAGGATGAAATCAAGCAATACATCTCGAAACAGGTAATAATAATTCTATTAACATATAGTAGTTGAATACGTTTTTTAATAAATGATTATAAGGTAATATTTATTCAATTTTTTTTTAATTTATTAATAACATACTCTGTAAATACAATTATTCACACTTAAAATTTTTAAAGATATCAACATTTTCTTTTATTTTTGAACTCATTTAATCATTTAGGGATCGAGTACTTGAATTTGACCCAATGATGATGAAAAATGTGACTTGACATATATACTCTGTTTTGTAATGGTGCAGGTGGCGTTTTACAAGAGAAACATTCGGGTGTTCTTTCTATTGAAACCATTCCAAAGACACCAGAGATCAACATTCTCATTTTTAGTTGAACTCATTTAATCATTTAGGGATTGAGTACTTGGATTTGACCTAATTAGGGGATGTTCATTCGGTTAAAACGGTGGTCGATCGAGCCGAAATACTCTTAACCGAATTAATCGATTTTTTTTCTTTAACCGTTAATCGAACCGAACTTTATTTTGAAAGTATTAGTCGAACCGAATAATTTTCGGTTAATTTTTGAATTAACAGAATTTTTTTAGAATTTAATTTTTTTAATTAAAAATAATAATAATTTACAATTAATTTAAATAATATCTAATTAATTTGATTCAAACATTTTGCATATAGTATTGAGAATATTTTAATTAATTAATATTGATTTGAGTTTTAAATGGATTGGGCCGACTAAGTCTCTTAATATAATTATATTTAAAGGTTAATTTGATTAACAAATTAACAGATTTCGAACCGAATTAACCGTTAACCGAATTTAAAAAAAAAACTTAATCGTTCCCCGACCGAATTAATTCGATGACCGACCAAATTAACCGAACTAATTCAATTCGATCGATTAATTCGGTTAAAACTAAATTTTGAACACCCGTAGACCCAATGACATGAAAAATGTGACTTGACATATATATTATGTTTTCTAATGGTGCATGTGGCGTTTTACAAGAAAAAAATTCGGGTTTTTTTTTTATTGAAGTCGTTCCAAAGACGCCGTTGGGAAAATTTTTAAGAAAGAACTGAGAGATAAACCGGCAAATAAAAACCATTGAAATCTGAATCCAAGCTTCCATTGAGCTATATTGTTTAACCTAACAATCAGTTAGCCATTATAACAATTATTTAATTTTACTAATTATAATTTAACCATTACAATGATTAATCGATAATTAATAATTTATCAAAATGTGTATGTGTAACCGTTATCTTTATTCATCACATTTAATGATTTTATTTATATAAATCGTTCGATCTTAACGATTTAATTAATTAACATATAAAATGTAATAATTATGTCGATTACATTTAATACTTTGAAGTTAATCTGAAAACCTAATCATACTACCCTTGGCAAGCGTGTAGCATAAGTATCCTTTTTAGGGTTAATTTACATTTTGATCATTTAACTATGAATAAATATTTATTTTGATCACTCAACTTTCAATTGTGAATTAGCTTCTTTCTTTTAGATTTTTTGTTCTAATTTTTTTATAATTTGATACAAGATCAAATCTTCATTGACTTGATATTCTAATGGGATGGAATTTTTCATTATGTTACACTTCATAAACTTCTAAAAAATGAAAAACAAAAACATTTTTATTAGGTAGATTATAATACAATAATTCAAGCAAAAACATTCTTTGAAGATTTTATGAAATATAAAAGCGTCAAAAAAAATAATTTGTCCAAGAAGAATACGAAGCCGATAAAGAATAGATATTGCACCAACATGTAAGAAACGATAAAAAAGAAACCCAAAAAAGTGATTCACAATTGAAAATTGAGTGACCAAAATATAAAATTGATCATATTTGAATGACTAAAATAAAAATTACCCCCTAAAATTAATGTTCTTTACACATAGTGGCAAAATAACATTATCATTACCGATAGAGAAATAAATGGATCTGATTATAACTTTTTAAAATGTAATATCCAATTATAAATTTTCTCACAATACAACGACATATACTTAATTTACCCTAAATCAGTTAACCTACCCACAGTATCGACATATTCCCTGATTTTGCTTTCTCGTGTCTTGTATTAAAACCCTTCTAGAGCTCTTTGTTTACACAGTCTCGATCCATCCGCCTCTCCGTTCTTTGTAAGCTCTCTGGCTCCGGATACTTGCATTTTACTTTCCATTTGTTCAGATCGGGTCTTAATCGATTATCTATTTCTTCATCTCTGGCACCTTTTTTTTTACATTCGATTGTTGTTGAAGAACAAGTGCTAATACCATGGCTACAAAGAAGAGCGTTGGAGATTTGAAGGAAGCTGATTTGAAGGGGAAAAAGGTGTTCGTCAGAGTTGATCTGAACGTTCCTTTGGATGATAACTTCAACATAACTGATGACACCAGAATCCGTGCTGCTGTTCCGACCATCAAGTATTTGATAGGTCATGGCTCTAGAGTCATCCTTTCCAGTCATTTGGTAACTTCAACATAACTGGTTTAGTTGATTTACCCCTGTTTTTTTTATTTGCGTGTTTTGATTTGGCCTTTTTTGAGCTCTGATTTCTATTTTTGATGGATATTTGTGTTTTTTTGGTGTTTCTTATAAGTTTATGTGCTGTGAATAAGCTAGATCTGTCTGAATCGGACGGAGGCATCATCTTCTCATTTTTTGTTTATATTTTCTCTGTAGTTCCATCTGATTTTGTTTTTATTTGTTATTTAACTCTGAAAACGCTGCAGTTAGCTAGCATATGCTGATTATTGACAGATGTAGCAAGCATGTTCTCCTGGCTTATATTTTCATAGGTTCGATTTGTTTTTTTTTTACTCATAAACTGGTTCACCTTTGTTTGATTCGCTGTTTTTGAGTTTGGTTTATTATTTGCACCATTTTGGCAGCAGTAGTTAATCTAAAAACTATATAATTGCCTTGTTGAATGTTAAGGCAGAATGTCTCCATTCCTTGTTTCCGGTTAAAGATCGCGTAAGATCTGAACAAAGATCTCAGGCACAAATCTCTTGCCCTTGTGTGTGGGAATATGCTGTTCAATTTAGAAAAGTGGATGGAATGTTTGTTTTGTGCTCTGACCTTTTGGCATGTTGAAGATTTCATAATACGTTTCAAATTGCCTTTGTTTTTTCAGGGACGCCCGAAGGGTGTCACTCCTAAGTACAGTTTGAAGCCTCTGGTTCCAAGGCTATCTGAACTTCTTGGAGTTGAGGTTTGTCTTTAAAAAACCTACCCTTTAGCCACCTCAGAGTTTCATTTTCTTGTTTTCTTGTTCTATTAAACATTTTATCTGTCTTGTGAAAGTTTAAAATGGCAAATGACTGTATTGGTGAAGAAGCTGAGAAATTGGTGGCTGGACTACCAGATGGAGGTGTATTGCTTCTTGAGAATGTGAGGTTCTACAAGGAGGAAGAGAAGAATGATCCTGAATTCGCAAAGAAGCTAGCTTCTCTTGCAGATCTCTATGTCAATGATGCATTTGGCACTGCTCACAGAGCCCATGCTTCTACAGAGGGAGTGGCAAAGTTCTTAAAGCCTTCCGTTGCCGGTTTTCTTATGCAGAAGGTATTATGAATATCATACTTTTTTAAAATGAATGTTGCATGATCCAGCAGATTGGTTTAAGAATCATGTTTGAGTCTATGTTTATTTTGATTATTGGATTTGAGTTAAGTAAATTTTAGCATGTTACTTTAGGATCTGATAGAGAGACCATTTAACTGGTCTGCGTCTTTTCTGAAGCATGTCGTCCATAAAACATCAAAATTGCATGGTTTTCAAGCATTTAGATAAGAACACACGATGGTTGTTTTGAGTTTTTGTTGACCATCTTTGACATGCTATGTTCTATTCACCTTTTTTAGGAGCTCGATTATCTTGTTGGAGCTGTGGCAAATCCCAAGAAGCCATTTGCTGCAATAGTTGGTGGTTCTAAGGTATCAACCAAGATTGGAGTGATCGAATCCCTCTTGGCCAAGGTAGATATTCTTATACTGGGTGGAGGAATGATCTTTACCTTCTACAAGGCCCAAGGATACAAAGTTGGATCATCTCTTGTGGAGGAAGACAAACTTGATCTAGCTACTTCTCTCATGGAGAAGGCCAAGGCAAAGGGGGTCTCCCTCTTGCTGCCCACTGATGTGGTTATTGCAGACAAGTTTGCTGCTGATGCTAACAGCAAGGTTTGTGTTGCTTCTCATTTGAAGTTTGCTTGTGCTATGAGTCGTTTGAGCAGACTGTACTGCAATACACCTAATTTTACTGCCATTGGCTACATGGTATCAGAGTGTATCTAAGACCAATTCGTTTAGTATATTCTGGTGATGCTCCCTATATTTGAATTTTTGGGCCTTTAATTTATTATTAATATATTTTATTTTTCTTTTGCAGGTGGTTCCAGCTGCAGAGATCCCAGATGGTTGGATGGGCCTGGATATAGGACCCGACTCCATCAAAGCCTTTAATGAGTCTTTGGACACTACCCAAACCATTATTTGGAATGGGCCAATGGGTGTGTTTGAATTTGATAAGTTTGCTGCAGGCACCGAGGTAAAGTGTGATTTACTTTCAGGAATTAGTTGGTCGTGATAGTGGAATTAGGTCTTTAGTTATGCTCACAAACGTTTTTTTTATACTGTTTATAATGTAGGCGATTGCCAAGAAGCTTGCCGAGCTCAGTGGCAAGGGAGTGACAACAATCATCGGAGGAGGTGATTCCGTTGCAGCCGTGGAGAAGGTTGGGCTTGCTGATAAAATGAGCCACATCTCGACTGGTGGTGGTGCCAGCTTAGAGCTTCTCGAGGGCAAGCAACTGCCTGGGGTCCTTGCTCTTGATGACGCTTAAGCTTTAATTTTGCACCTCGTTGCTTTTTTTGTTTCAGTGTTCTAGTGTGGCTGGTATCTCAGCCGAAGTGTGAATTTTAGTAGAGCCGAGCTGATCTGGTAGGGTTGAAAAGGTGAACTTGTTATAAATAAGAGGATACATTTGGATTGGATTCCCTTTTTGTTAATGATAAAGTTGCCCTAAGTGCTTGTTTTATATCTTGGATTTGAGGTTGGGGATGATGAGTTCATTGCCCTTACGTCCGCCAAACTGAATTTAAAAATGTGTGTGAAATGCTATTTTGAATATTTTTCCTTAAAACCGAAGCACATGTACAAAGAGTTTGATTGGATCGATCTACTTTATTCTAATTTTTTTTTACTTTTTAATGTAATTAATTCATTTGGAGACAATAAAAGTATAGGGATAAAATACTAATATAATTATAAAATATGATACTGCAATGTTAATGATCTCGAAAGTCCTTTATGCTGTTGTTATTTAAAAAAGCCTATATGATCTGGAAAGTCTGTTATACTAATGTGACTCAAAAATATGTTTTTAAAGGTTTACCCAAATTTCAATATATATTAGAAAATGTCATATTTGTTTCTATTCAAAGGCCAACAGAAATACAACTAGGAATAGTTTCGAAAACATTAAACAAATCAAAACTGAACAGACAACTGAGCTAAAGCATCAACTTCCAAATCAAGCAACTGGACCCCCCCCTGTATATATCATCATAATAATTTAATCAGTATTATGATAATGTTTCTAAAGATGTTAACCAGTTGAACTGTAAATAATATCACAGGTTAGAAAAATTAGTTTATTTAAAAAATTCGTGGGAAAACAAGACCCAAACTTGGAATTGAAGACATATCTTAATATCCAACTAAAAAAACAACTTATTAGATTCTAACAAGTTGCATGGTGAATCTCATATTTGATCATGATATCATCTTCGTCATAATCTGTTGTTGAATTTGAGCCGCTGCCGGTGTACGAATGTACATTAGCCGATGAAATCAGGTGCTGAAACGGGTTGGGAGGTGTATCTGCTTCAGCTCCCCCTTCTAATATCTTTACAACGTTCCTCATCGAAGGCCTAGCCTCCGGCAAGTATTGCACGCACCATAAAGCCACGGTTACCATTGTCTTTGCCTTTTCCCTGTCCTTCTCTTCAATTTCGCACTTGTCCCAAAGCTCATCCAATTCCCCCTTGTCAAAATTCTCCCATACTTGTTTCGGAAACCAATCTAGCCTCTCAACTAGAAAGTTCCTCCTCCTCCCAACAATCTCGAACAGCATCGCTCCGAAACTATACACATCGCATTTGTAGCTTACCGGAAACGGCATCCAGATCTCCGGGGCAGCGTAACCGGGAGTCCCTCCAACTTTCGACATGGTTATATTCGTGGTGTCTCGGTTGCACAACTTTGCAAGTCCGAAATCAGCAATCTTTGGGCAAAAGTTGGAATCAAGCAAAACATTTGCCGGTTTAATATCATAATGGATTATTTTCTTGAGGCTGAAATGATGTAGATACTCAAGCCCTCTAGCTGCCCCGACCGCTATCTCATATAACTTGTCCCACTCAATTTCATGCTTCTTATCGAACAAAAGTTTGTCAAGAGATCCATTTTCCATGTATTCATAAACTATGGCTTTTGTCTCCGGTTCAAAGCAGAAGCCGTAAAGCCTTACTAGATTCCGATGATATGTTCTTCCTATGGTGTTGACTTCAGCCATGAACTGATCCTCGATCCGCTTATCTATGCCGTGGTGTTGAGTAGTTTAACAGCAATCGACCGTCCATCTGGGAAATGTCCTCGGAAAACTGAGCCATACCCTCCTTGGCCTAGTTTGGTTGAGTAATTTGACGTGAAAACTTGAAGCAACTGGCCTGAAAACCTGGCTGGTTTTTCATCTAGCACCAGCTCTATGAGTCTTTCTATGGTTTGTTTCTCCGACACCGCTTCCACATCCACCTCCGCATCAACCGGTGGCGCTGGTTGTAGCTCTGTTTTCGCTATCTGTAATTCTTTATCCTTATTTTCAGGCTTCTTTAGCTTTATTATGATACAAGCGATTATTAGAAGCCCTGCTACCCCTGAAATTTTTTCAAGAAGAAGACTTCACGGCTTGAAAAATCCATCCATAAACATCAACACAATGCTTAAAAGGTTTTGATGTTGAGATCAAAATGCCTTACCTCCTATCGTTCCAAATACTATCTCCAGCTGCTGGGTTAACTGCCCATCGGAATTATCAGAAGTCGACATTGTGGTTCTAGTTTTATTGTTCAACGATAGCTTGATACACGCCTGTAGCCCAAGGTTTACTCGATTTATAACAAATCTTTGCGTCAAATTAAGGCGGCACTTTCCCTTTTATAATTGAATTTTATTTTTGCACTCTAAGGTGGTGTTTATTTTCACTGTACAAGCTCTTCAAATCACTTATGTCTGTATCGCGCAGACCACGCGAAGACATTAGGCTTCGCAGACTGTTTGTTTTTTAGAAGACAGAAGCTCTTCAAACGTCTACGCGAGCTCTTCTTGGTGCAGACTTGGTTTTATGTATTCAAAGGTCTTCAAACCTCTTCAAGAACAATTATAAAATATAATTATTTATTAAAATAATTTTAAATAATTTAATAAGGTTATTTATTTTAAAATAATTTATTTTAAAATAATTTATTATAAAATAATTTACTTTAAAATAAATTATTATAAAATATGGATTGATTTATTTTAAAATAATTTATTTAAAATAATTTATTAGTATAAATTGATTTATTTTAAATAATTTATTAGTATGGATTGATTTATTTTAAAATATAGATTGATTTATTTTACATAATTTATTAGTATGTATTAATTTATTTTAAAATATGGATTGATTTATTATTATAGTTGTGTGGATTGATTTATTTTAAATAATTTATTAGTATGAATTGATTTATTTTAAAATATGGATTGATTTATTTTAAAATATGAATTGATTTATTTTAAATAATTTATTTGTATAGATTGATTTATTTTAAAATATGGATTGATTTATTTTAAATAATTTATTAGTATGGATTGATTTATTTTAAAATATGAATTGATTTATTTTAAAATATGGATTGATTTATTTTAAATAATTTATTAGTATAGATTGATTTATTTTAAATAATTTATTTGTATGGATTGATTTATTTTAAAATATTGATTGATTTATTATTGTAGTTGTATAGATTGATTTATTTTAAATAATTTATTAGTATGAATTGATTTATTTTAAAATATGGATTGATTTATTATTGTAGTTGTATGGATTGATTTATTTTAAATAATTTATTAGTATGGATTGATTTATTTTAAAATATGGATTGATTTATTTTAAATAATTTATTATTGTAGTTGTATGGATTATTTAAATTTCAGTATTGTAAAACTAAAATTATTTAAATCTCAGTATTGCAAAACTCTTTTAAGTTTAAAAAATCAGTTTATTTATATTTCAGTTCATTTTAGCAGTCTGCAGACGTTAAAAAACAAACAGTCTTCTTCTTGCAGACTGCAAACTTTTGGTCCACCTCTTCTACTGCAGATGCCTGCAGATGTGGTCCGCAGACTGCAGACCTTTTACCTCTGCAAAAACAAACACCACCTAAGCCTCCCTTGTAATTTTATCAAGAAAATGTTCTGGAGAAAGAATCCATTAAAACAAGACTAAATTAATTATATAAATTAGACATTTGGACGTACGAATTAACTATCTAAGAATATAAATGATTATACAAGAAAAAATGTTTGAAATCCGACCAAATAACTCGAACAAATGATTGATACAAACAAACACCATTATCGACATTGAAGTATAAACACTATCAACACTAACATAAAAATACATATAACAATGATAACTCGTTGACAAACTGACATTACAAGGACTCAATCAGGATCTATCTTCAATGATTGCAAACATCTATCAAAATCTAGTTACCTCCAAAGTTGGGGTAGAACAGTACTATAACCAAATAAACGCTAAAGAAAAAACAAATCATGCTACATGAGTTGACAAAACCATCCATTATTTTTATTGGAGAAGGTTCAAACTAATTGAACAAAAAATAACGCACCTCAAATTCTAAGCCGAAAAAAAAGAAAGTGAAAAGTAAACGGTCGACAACCTAGTCCAATTGGTCAAAGGTTGAAATATTGAATACTAACCTAAATTGTTGTCTTCTAGGAGGAATGGATTATATATATATATATAAGTCTATCTATATATATATAAGTCCATCTAGATGGCTTACGTATGAGTATATGGTTTCTTTAGTCAATATTAAAATATCATAGTAAATTAAAGAAAGATATGAATAAGTTAATCTAGATGGCTTACGTATGAGTATATGGTTTCCCCCCTCCTCCCAACAATCTCGAATATCATCGATACAAATCACATTTGTAACTTACCGGAAATGGCGTCCAAATCTCGGGGGCGGCATAACCGGGAGTCCCTCAGACTCTCGACATGGTTGTATTCGTGGTGTCTCGGTTGCACAACTTTGCAAGTCCGAAATCAGCAATCTTTGGGCAAAAGTCGGAATCAAGCAAAACGTTTGCAGGTTTAATATCATAAAGGACTATTTTCTTGAGGCTAAAATGATGCAATGCAAATACTCAAGCCCTCTAGCAGCCCCGACTGCTATCTCTTATAACTTGTCCCACTCAATTTCATGTTCCTTACTAGATTCCGATGATATGTTCTTCCTACAGTGTAGATTTCAGCCATGAACTGCTCCTCGATCCTCTTATCTATGCCCCGGCTGTTAAGTGGTTTAACAGCTATCGGCCGTCCATCTGGATTGAAAACTGAGCCACACCCTCCCTGACCTAGTTTGGTGGAGTGATTTGACGTGAAAATTTGAAGCAAATGGGCTGTAAACCTGGCTGGTTTTCCATCTAGCTCGAGCTCTATGAGTCTTTCTATGGTTTGTTTCTCTAATACTGTTTCCACATCCACCGCCGCTGATTGTATCTGGTAATAAGCGGCGAGCTCCGTTAACATCTTTGCGTACTCCCTTGCTATCTCTTCTAATGCTTTAGCCTGCCCTGATCATTTTCAGTCTTCTCGCCGATACGATGCATACAAGTATTAAAAGCAGTACTGCCCCTG